TGATAGAAGATGTCCTGTCATAAATCTTTTTGGTCATCCAGTTTTATCAGCTAGAAGATCTGATTTATATGGTTGGGAATTACCTAGCATGTTCATTAAAGCTAACTATTGTCAGTTCCCCTCTATTCTTAAAAATCAGCATTCAAAGGGTTAAGATCAAATGAGTGAACTGCTTTTTTAATAAAATACAGGCATGAAATGGAATTGTGAAGGTCTTATCTGTATCAATTTTATTTTACTTTTTCTCCTGCCTGTTCTTTGTTTCTACTTACTAAATTTCCTGTTTTATTTTTTGCTTGTTTTATCATAAGGGAGATCTTTGATGAGCTGCTGGAAACAGAAAAGAACTCTCAGTCACTTAGCATGGAAGTGGGGAAGACTACCCGTCAAGCCTCGTGAGGAACAAACTCCTGGGTTGGCAGTGTGCGCTGCATATTCTTACTGCTGCCCACCTCACCTTTCCTCTGCTGAAGGAGAATTTGAAATTCTGCTTGATGCGGGAGCAACAAACAGCTCAGGGCCAAACCAAAAGACAAAAATTGGAGTTACATAGAATGCTCCATGCTATTTTATGGAAACTTTGGTCTCACATCTGTAGCTGATTATCCTCTTTTTCTCCTATAAGAGTGGCACTTCCTTTTGTCTTAGGAATACATGTTGTAAATATATATCTGTGTGTGTGTGTGTGTGTGTATACACACACACACACACACAGAGGATGAATGGAGCCTTAAAGAGTTAGGATGAGCCCCCAGAATATGCCTGCTCAAAATTAATAGCACAGCAGTTTGGAGAAGAAATGAAGGTGTCAAAGAGTCCATTCACCTGAGAAATGTGTGAAGATGTACTTATCAGTTGGCTTTTAACTTTTATGTTCCTTGAGTAGTTTCACTCAAGTCTGTAACCTTTTGTGTGTTTCCTTATTAGTAAAGTTCACTGGAAAACCAGCTCTTCATGTTACACTAATGACAGTTTGTTCTCTTTGCAAGAGAGGGGCATTGCTGTCACCTGACTTGAGGAGCTGTTTTTTTTGTTGTTGTTGTATGCAAATTTCATGAATTTGTGATGTCTTTGCTGTTTACATGCAGTCCCAAGAAATGGATTGTTGGTGCTTTGGAATATGTTACAGTCCCACATTTGATATTCCTCATATACTTTGCTCTCTCTAAGGAGATTTCTTCACACAGTATGTTCATCATATATCATCATCATTATTTTGGTGGTAAAGATAGAATCTTTTTTCTTTTTTTGTCATTCTGCCATGGAGCAGCATTACCCTAATGGATTGCAACCAAAACTTTAAACAGGTAGAAAGATATTTCTCCAATTGGGACTCCCCAGCAGGAATACTTAGGGATAAGGAAGAATGCTAGCATCTCTGTCTCTCAAATATAGGGAGGATTAGAAGAGTGTTCTTCTGATAAAGCTAAAATTCTGGACCACTAAAGCTAAAAGCCCTATTGCAAGTATGAAATTAAGTACTTGAGCTATAGGACAAACCTTGGGCATTTAACCATTTACTCTCTGGCTTTGCCCTTAAAATAGGATTGCAATTAAAATGTGATTGGCTTAGGTAATCCCAAGAACTAAAAAATAACAAAGGTGCGTAATATATTTATCTACTTTTTAGGTGCTCTGAGTTGAGGCAAAGTAGAGCGGCAACATTAAGTGCTATGCTAGTCACTTAGCTGACATAATCAGCTTGGTTAAGCAGCTTATGAAACCATATAAAGAATTCTTTTGAGGATGGAATTCTGTCCACAAAATAATTTTGTGAGCCCAGATGTCATTAGGATCACACAGAGTTAAGTGTAGCAAAATGAAACCATCGTTGTATTCTTTCATGATTTTTCTTTTATTATAAACAAGGGATTATTCTTTAGTTCTCAGAGGTAGGGACAAACCATATCAGGTTTTCAGAAGGAAAAAACATTTAAAAACCCACCATCACTTGAGAGAATCGCTTGAACCCAGGAGGTAGAGGTTGCAGTGAGCCGAGATCACATCATTGCACTGCAGCCTGCGTGACAGTGAGACTCCATCTCATTTAAAAAAAAAAAAAGAAAAGAAAAGAAAAAAAAAACACACAAATCATCATCACAGAAGATGCAACATATTTTCTGAAAGATTGCCTTAAGAGAGCTCCAGCCCTACTCTTGGAACTTGGATGTATTCTAATATAGTAACCTATTCTAAGTTTTGATTCTTTGAATTATAAATGGCCTCACCAGTTTTGCTTAACTACTGATAAATGCTTTGCCTCCTACCATCTACCTATATACATTATTGTAATGAATGTTCCAAAATGGTAGAGTGGTAGAAAATGCCAGAGTAGTTTAGAGCAGAGGAAAATATTTGTTTTAAAACTAGCTTTAAAATTTTGTTTCATTTCTACCAGGAGACTCTTTAGTTTGGTTTGATTTTGCTTGGAAATAATTGGTTTTCTTATAAATGAGTGAAGTGGTGATAAAATTCTTTGGCTAGTTATTAATTATTTTACCTGTCTTTGCATTTGAGAGGCACTGTTAAAAATTATTGGGAAAGATTTAAAGTGCAGGCTGCGTTAAAACATGGAGAAAAATAGAAATAATGCCATAAGTCTAGATTGCCTCATGAAGCAGCCTCATTTGAATTGCTTTCGTAGCTTTCATATGTGTATGGTTTAGAAGTACACTTACCTCAGAAACCTGATTTGATCTCATGTCTTGGGCAGGAGTTGTTGAAATAGGTTATGGGAATATATAAGTTATCTCACTGCTCATGTACTTGCATGTTTGGGACTCAAATTTTACTTGATGTCTGTCCATTCTTGTGGCCCTGTCAGCCTTCTCCTTCCTTTACTCCTTTAATCTATTTCTTTGACTACCAATGGAGATTTCAGCTGGACTATGTTGATGGGGCTTGTTGTTTTTTTTGAGCTGGCTGTATATATTTTAAAATTATAAATAGATAATATATTATTTTTTGCACATTGTTATCAGTTTGCCCAGAATTGGGGATAGGGCAGTTAGCATGTTGGGGCCAGGAAGGGACAAGTTAGATAAGGACTGAGTGCTTCCGTTGCAGGCAGTTTGCACAATACCTAATTAACCTTCCTATTGAAAATACCAAATGTGTGGTTACATTACTTTAAATGACATTGAATTGGAACTTGATGGCAATTAGTTCTAGATACAGCATTTTGATCTTTGTTGGAATTTTAAGGGAAAAATAAACTAAACTTCATATTTGTTTATTTTAATCCCCTAATAGTACTGAAGGTTGGAAAGTTGCATGTGGCTGGATGCTGTTGATTTCTTTAATAGCCATGACTACAATTTAAGCCTATGAGAAGATAGACTGTTTCATAGGGATATATTCACATGTGTGTGCACACTCAGGAGTTTTGTCTCAGCAGGATAGAATAAGCAAATCCATGAATTGGTCTTTTGTTAATACTTTGATTCTAAAAATTATTTGTTTACTTGCTATGGTCTGTTCATTCTGGGCCTAACTTTAAAGGCTCAATAACAAATACAACAAATGTAAATATGTTTACATTTTAAGACATATGCAGTGGTACTTACAGATCAGTTAATTAACTCCAGAAAGCAAATGTTAGACTACACATTTATTTTTCTCCTTGATCAAGTGTAAAATTCTGAAACAGAGGCTTTAAAATATAAAACCTCAGTAAAATAATCCATGAATTTACTGATTCTTCTATATTGTGTATAGTTACCATTATGTAACTATACACATGTACAGCTACAGATATAGTTGTATAATGAAAATTATCTGCAAACACCTAAATTAAAGAGAGAAAGTAGTTTGTAAACTCATTTGTGGTCTACTGAAAAGAGGTTATATTAAAGCAAATAAAAATATTTTCCTTCTCTGTCCTCTGAAATGATTGCAGTGGATACTCTTAGTTATCTCATTTTGTGGGGATGGAGGGCCTTTTTAATTTAATTGACCCCCCAAGGTGGTCTTTTGTTTTAAATGGGCAGTGGGGGAGGAAACAGAGCTGGATCTCCAAGTACATGTGGATTTTTAGAAAAATCAACAACCCAACACCAGATGCAAGTCACATAGAACTGTTCCAATAAAATGGATGAATGTTTTTTTCCTCCCCATTTTGCTTTATACTGAGTATTGCACTTTTGCAAGTGTATGCAAAAACTAGACTTCTGCCCTCCTCTTTTTATTGCATTACTTCAAAATTCTAATTTTGTCTCTACTGATATGTCTTATTAACATCTGAAAAAAATATATATATTTTATTGGAAAATTCTAGTTTGTTAGGCCTTGAAAGTTTTGTGACAGTTATTTTGCTGTGTTTCACCACAATCGTTCACCTTATGGCATGCTTTGGTTACTAGACTTCAGGCAGTCTCATTCATTGTATCATACTTACACACAATAGTAAGTTGTCTCCATGTGTGCTATGTCTGAGGTGTATGGAGTTTTTATTTAAAAAGTGTGCCAGGCTGAATATAAGCATTTGATTTTGTAACATTGGACTTTTCTTAAAAGTATAGAGGTTCAAAGTATAGGTATGTCCATTGGCATAAGAATAGAGAGGGTGAGAGTCTGGACCAGGATCCAGGTTTGTCCAGTCAGACACCAGAAACTGGTCTTCAAAAATAGTGGGCCTGTGTGAAGAGTGAGACCACGTGTGGGTGTGCACACCTCCTGTCCCCAGGTTTCCCTCCCTTTGAGCTTATCCTTCCCTCCCTAATTTCTCTGGCCTATTGTCATCGTTGTTTCTTTACATTTAAGGAGAGAAAAACAAAAATGAGATTCGTACACTTTGCCTAATTGAGCCACTACCAGGTTTTCTGGCAGCTGTGGCCACATTATTTGTGAGATGATTTTTTTTCTTTATGTTCAGAGTGACTTCTGATTCTGATTCTTTATGTTTTGTATGGAGCGGCACTTTTATCTGTGTTTTAGCAGAACTGTTCCTCTGTATCCTTTACGGTTTTTGTTTTTGTTTCCTTTTTAAATTATGCATAGAGTTTTTTTGTGTGTATGAAATTAAAGCCTTTATTAACCTTCTGTTGATTTGACTGTTATTTCTGAAAAGGACACATTCTTGCTGATACTTATAACAACCTATTCAAAGTTGTGGAAATCACCTTCTGTTGGCTTTCTGACATGGACTTCCTTGCAGCGTTGTTACTTCTTAAAAGGAACAGAATGGCAAACCAGTGTTTGGCCGTAGTCCCCATTGATTATTGTTATTTTCATCTGGGGAGCCTGTGAAGCTTTGCGGAGGCTTCTGGGTAAGTTTGTAAACCTAGCATTGGCCTTCACTAGGCTCTTCCTTTGCCTTATTATTAAGGGTTGGGAGAAGAAGTGAAATAGCCTATGCATTTCTTACTTGCCTTTAGGTCTCAAGCCTAGCCCCAGTGGATGTGCTGCTCTCACAGTACCGTTTGGTATTTGTGAAACCTCCTAGAGGGTAGTCTTGTGGACCATTCAACTCTCCTTCAACCCTTTAACTTACCCACTGAGTAAGGCAGTAAGGAAAGTAAATGTGAAAAGGAAAAGCTGTTACTCTGGGGAAGATGTAAACCTGCAAAATGCTTCAGCCTACCTGCCATAGATAAAAATGAGTCATGATGGAGGACAAGCTAGGTAGGGTAGTGCCTCAGAACTCTAATGTTCCATGGAGTGTTTGTGCTCTTCTAAGAAGAGAAGACTCTAGAACAGGAGTATTAAAAATGATGCAATACCTCAGGATAGAAACAATCTAGCGACCTTAGAAGTTGAAATGAGGACCATAGGCTCCTTTTGGGGAATCATCTTTCTGAAGGAATAGGTACATTATTAAACAAAAGTGGCATTTGCCACAGAAGTTTGTGCTCATAGGCACAAACTTTAACTGCAAATTTTCACTTCAATTGGTGTAGGACTAATATCGGTGAGAAAATGAGACCCCACAATCAGGGTAGGGTACTGCTTTACAACCACAGCTCCTCTTCTCAAAATAGTCCTTTTTCTTTCTTCAGGTTTTGTTGCTTCCATCGAGGCAGAGCGGAGAAGGCAGCTGGAGTCATCCCAAAGGCCTGAGTGAAATCTTCAATGGACAGGTGCTCCTAGAAGAGAGGGACCAGAGGGCAAAGGTCACATATCCTTTCCTCCTCCCTTACCCTCAGGTGCAATTTGCTCTGATGAGTCATATAGATGTGGTGTATAATCAAATAAATGAAGAGTAAACACAAGCAATGTCAGGAGAGCCAGAAAAGGGATGGAGAGGAGACGAATATGGTATTTTGGTATTCCAGAGGTTTATCCCTGGATTTTTTTTTTTCTTTTTTTCCCAGACCGTGTCTTGTTCTGTTGCACAGGCTGGAGTGCAGTGGCACGAACTCAGTTCACTGCAACCTGCAACCTCCACCTCCTGATTTCAAGCGATTCTCCTGCCTCAGCCTCCCAAGTAGCTGAGATTACAGGCATGCACCACCATGCCCTGCTAACCTTTGTATTTTTAGTAGAGACGGGGTTTTACCATGTTGGCCAAGCTGGTCTCGAACGCCTGACCTCAAGTGATCCACCCTACTCGGCCTCCCAAAGTGCTGAGATTACAGGTGTGAGCCAGCACACCTGGCCTGATCCCTGAATTTTTAACAATGAAAAGATAGTAGTGTAGTAGATTGAGATCTTCTTTTTACAAGGGTCAAGTTCACATTAGCCCAAATAAGAATTAGGACTCTTCTTTCCAAGCCTTAGTTTTCCTCTCTATTAAATGGGGAACGTTTCTTTTTTTTTTTTTTTTTTTTTTTTTTTAAAGACAGAGTCTTACCCTGTTCCCCAGGCTAGAAAGCAATGGCGCACGATCTTGACTCACTGCAACGTCCACCTCCCAGATTCAAGCAATTCTCCTGCCTCAGCCTCCTGAGTAGCTAGGACTACAGGCACCTGGCACCACGCCCGGCTAATTTTTGTATTTTTAGTAGAGATGAGGTTTTGCCTTTTGGCCAGGCTGGTCTCGAACTCCTGGCCTCAAGTGATCCACCCACCTTGACCTCCCAAAGTGCTGGGATTACAGGCATGAGCCACCATGCCTAGCCATTGTTTTTTTGTTTTTGTTTTTTTTTTTTGAAACAGCGTCTTGCTCTGTCACACAGGCTGGAGTGCAGTGACACAATCTCAGCTCACTCTAGCCTCAACCTCCTGGGCTCAAGCAATCCTCCCATCTCAGCCTCCCGAGTAGTTGGGACCATAGGCATGCACTACCATGTTGCCCAGGCAGGTCTGGAACCCCTGAGCTCAAGCATCCACCCGCCTTGGCCTCCCAAAGTGCTGGGATTATAAGCGTGAGCCACCAACCCCAGCCAGGAACATTTCTTAAAGGCAAATTTTCACTTGCTTTTATGAAAATGAAAATAATATTACATATGAAAGTGTACTGAAAACAAATTAGGCAGGCATGGTGGCACACACGTGTAATCCCAGCTGCTCTGGAGGCTGAGGCAGGAGAATCTCTTGAACCCAGGAGGCAGAGGTTGCAGTGAGCTGAGATCGTGCCACTGCACTCCAACCTGGGCGATAGTTTTCCATCTCACAAACACAAAACATAGTATGTTGCTCATTTACCTCCACTTAAACAGTGAATCCAAGCTGCCCACAAAGCAAGCAGATGAGCCCTATAAGGGTATCTGCTCTAGTCTGGGTATGTGAGGTTTTATTAGGGCGGGGTGTGGTGGCTCATGTCTGTAATTCCAGCACTTTGGGAGGCCAAGTCAGGCAGATTGCTTGAGTTCAGGAGTTCAAGACTAGCCTGGGCAACATGGTAAAACCCTGTCTCTACCAAAAAAATACAAAAATTAGCCAGGTATGGTGGTGCACATCTATAGTCCCAGTTACTCAGGAGGCTGAGGTGACAGGATCGCTTGAGCCCAGGTGGCAGAGGTTGCAGTAAGCCAAGATAGTACCATTGTACTCCAGCCTGGGTGAAAGAACAAGACCCTGTCTCAAAAAAAACATTTTATTGCTGTCACAGGACATACAACTCTTCTAGCAAAAGCCTGTCACCCTCAGGAGAAGTCTCCCTCCTGGGCCCTACTTTGCTTTGGATCAAGTTAACAGACTGCCTGCAAGGGAAGTAGGACCCACTCCAGCCCTAATGGATGGAGCAAAGTAGGAATCTAGTTTCCATATACTGCTGTGGCACTTACAAAGGAACTGAGGCAGATTTGAATATTCCCATTTTCAGGTGATGCAGTTAAAGTTTAAGAAAGTCAGGCCAGCGTGTTGGCTCACACCTGTAATCCCAACACTTTGGGAGGCCAAGGCAAGTGGATCACGAGGTCAGGAGTTCGAGACCAGCCTGGCCAACATGGTGAAACCCTGTCTCTACTAAAAATACAAAAAATTAGCAGGCATGGTGGTGGGAACCTGTATTCTCAGCTACTCGGGAGGCTGAGGCAGGAGAATAGCTTGAACCCGGGAGGCGGAGGCTGCAGTGAGCCAAGATCATGCCACTGCACTCCAGCCTGGGCAACAGAGCAAGACTCTGTCTCAAAAAAAAAAAAGTCAAGGTCACCTCATTCCAATATATGTTCCACTGCACCATGCTGACTTTCTTCCTTGAGTTTCAGGTATACTGTAAAGCCCTCTTGTCAGCTTTCAACTCCCAGACCTGCAAGGTAAGCTATTAACACTTGCAGTTGGCCACAATTTTACCATTATGGATAGCTTCATCACTCTTGGCTTACAGGTTTGGTTCCCAGTTAAAAGGCAACTTGTTGGCCAGGTGCAGTGGCTCATGCCTGTAATCCCAGCACTTTGGGAGGCCTAGGCGGGTGGATCACCTGAGGTCATGAGTTCGAGACCAGCCTGGCCAACATGGTGAAACCGCGTCTCTACTAAAAATACAAAAAATTAGCAGGCATGGTGGTGGGAACCTGTATTCTCAGCTACTCGGGAGGCTGAGGCAGGAGAATAGCTTGAACCCGGGAGGCGGAGGCTGCAGTGAGCCAAGATCATGCCACTGCACTCCAGTCTGGGCAACACAGTGAGACTCTGTCTCAAAAAAAAGAAAAGACAACTTGTTAATCCTCATCAGTTTTTTATATTCTTCTGTGAATGTGTCAGATTATTTTTTAGGAGGAGGTTTTGCTTAGAGAGTGGGAGGGTAGCAGCAGAAGGTACAACTGAGGTCGGGGGAAGGATTCCAATAGAAGACACTAGGAAGGCCAAAGAACAAATTCAGAACTAAATTTTGCCTAGCTTTTTGAGTTGAAAAAATATATGGATAAACAAGTAATACTAGCTTCTCTCATCCTGTGAATGATCCAGAAGATTAGATAGCACAATTTTACATTTTTACTCTTGGCTAGGAAATCACAACTGGGAGTCACTACCTTTCTAAGCTTTGGGTGTCTTCAGCCATAAGATGAAGGAATTCACTGAAATGACTTGTTCCCAGCACTAAGATGATAATGACACTGTTTAAGGCAAGCTAAATACCCTCAAGGCACACTCAGTTAAGAGTCCCAAATTAAAGTTGCTATAAAACAGCATCTCCCAGCCTTCATCTCTGCTGCTCTAAGCACCAAGAGGTAGAGAGTGTAGAGGCGAGACTTGTGGGTTTCCTTTAATACTTAGGCTGCTCTGCTAAGATGGAGTTGCCCTAGGGAACATTTTATTGACTCCCACAGAGAGCCCTGAATTAAATAGCTTCTTAGTAAACACCTATAGATGGATTTCAACCTCAGGGGGGTCTGATGCTCCAGATTTCTAACCTGTCAGATTTGCCTCCCACCCTGGGCATTCTCTCCTTAAGTTTCCTGGAAGCCTTCCCCACTCCCCGAGGCAGAGTAGGGGAGTATTTGGTTTTGGTTTGGGGCTTCTTTTTGTTTTTTGGGGGGGAGGCTGAGACAGGGTCGTGCTCTGTCACCCATTCTGGAGTGTGGTGACAATCACAGATCACTTGCAGCGCCAATCTCCTGGGCTCACCCTCCTGGGTAGCTGGGACAACAGGTGCTGGGTAGCTGGGACACCCTCCTGGGTAGCTGGGACAACCGGGCTAATTTTTGTATTTTTTTGTAGAGACAGTGTCTCACTTTGTTGCCCAGGCTGGTCTCAAACTCCTGGGCTCAAGCAATCTGCCTGCCTTGGCCTCCCAAAGTGCCTGGGATTACAGGCATGAGCCACCGCACTCAGCTGAGTACTTGGTTTTAGAAGAAAGAGGATAAATATAAATGATTTGGGGATCAGTGGATGGGGAAGAGCTGCCATACTCCACATCTGTGTGTAGCACCCTGCCCCCAGGTTCCTCACAGCTGTGGCTGCTATGTCCTAGGTCTTTGCTGTCTCTGGTCCAGCCTGGGCTCTTCAGTTTTGTTAGGACTGCTGGACTCTGACCCCTCAGGCTAGATAGCAGGGACTACCCATCCTAGTGGACTTGTATCCTGTTCCTGAACCTGCAGTCCTGCCAGCTGATTACCAGCCTCACCCATGCCCATATCCGCCTCCCTGTTGTTTATTCATCAGTGCACAAATACTTAGATTACCATCTTGCTCTGCCTGCAGCCAGACCCACCACCCCACTGTTGTCACTGGCTCACCTTGCAAGATTGGAGCAGACAGACCTGAAAACCTCTCCTACACTCCCACGTGACACTGAACTCCGCTCTCCCACAAGAATGTATACTACTTCCATGATTAAAAAAATCAGCTGTAGTCGGGTGCGGTGGCTCACACCTGTAATCCCAGCACTTTGGGAGGCCAAGGCGGGTGGATCACAAGGTCAGGAGATTGAGACCATCCTGGCTAGTGCAGTGAAACCCCGTCTCTACTAAAAATACAAAAAAATTAGCCGGGCGTGGTGGCGGGCGCCTGTAGTCCCAGCTACTTGGGAGGCTGAGGCAGGAGAATGGCGTGAACCCGGGAGGCGGAGCTTGCAGT